AAAATATGCCCTCCTCTTCCCGAAGATGAAGATCCAGCTGAAAGGTCGCCGCTTCAACATTTCGGAGATCCAGCAATTTGTCCGGTTTCACGCAGAATTTCACATTTGCTCTAACTTGCTGTCCATGATGAAATAGCGGGCGTGGTCACGCACGTGGTCAGGTGGGCGGTGCAGCGTGCTATTTACACAAACAGTCAGCAAATCGACAAGGCTGGTATATTGCTTCTCTAGCGGAACTGAAGTCAAAACTTTTTTCTTGGGAAGAGCAGGACAGATACTGTGCAAGGTGGTCTTTTTTTTTAAATCACCACTCCGTGGCCAAAACTAAAAATGGGTTCAGGTGCTTCCAAGAGGCTGACAGCCTCTTCTGAGCAACAGGTTCATGTGGATGGGCTGAGCATGTGGACGGGCTGCCCTCTGCTGGGGGGAACATAGAATATCACAGCAATATCAACACCTCCCCCTAATGGCAGGTCTTATATACTACACTCTGCTTTTAGGGCTCGTTGACAGCCAAAACATTATGACCACCCACCTATCCTTGAGTAGGTGCCACTTTTGCAACCAAAACAGCCCTGATACGTCAAGGCATGGACGCCACTAGACCTCTGAAGGTATGCTGTGGGATGTGGCACCAAGCTGTCAGTAGCAGATCCTTTAAGGTCCCATAAGTTGGGAGGTGAGGCCTCCATGGATCAGACTTTTCTACCACAGCCCACAGACGTTCGGTTAGATTGAGATCTGGAGAATTTTGGAGGCCAAGTCAGTCAGCAACACCAGCAACTCATTTTTAGCTGTGCATTTTCTCGAACCATTTCCATTGGACTTAGTGCACATGTTTAGGCAGGGGTGCATTATCCACTCTGAAAGAAAGCCACTGCCATCAGGGAATACCATTTCCATGAAGGGGTGGACTTAGTCACCAACATTGTTTAGGTAGGTGGTGCATGGCAAGTAACACTCACATGAATGGTAGGACCCATGGCTTCCCAGCAAAACATTGCCCACCAACATTGTTTAGGTAGGTGGTGCATGTCAAGTAACACCCACATGAATGGTAGGACCAGGGGTGGACTGACCATTTGGAAACTCGGGCACTGCCCGAGGGACGGGGTCAGTAGGGGGCCCCATGAGATGCCCCTGGTACCTTTTTCATAGGCTTTTTTGAGTTTGGGAAAGGACACAGGGGCCACATGATCCCCTATTGCCCGGGGTCCCCATAAGTTGTCAGTCTGTCCCTGGGTAGGACCCATGGTTTCCCAGCAGACCATTGCCCACCAACATTGTTTAGGTAGGTGGTGCATGTTAAGTAACACCCACATGAATGGTAGGACCCATGGTTTCCCAGCACAAAATTGCCCACCAACATTGTTTAGGTAGGTGGTGCATGTCAAGTAACACCCACATGAATGGTAGGACCCATGGCTTCCCAGCAGAACACTGCCCAAAAGCATCACACTGCCTCCACTGGCTTGCCTTCTTCCCATAATGCATCCTGGTGCCATCTCTTCCCCAGGTGAGTAATGCACACGTACCCGGCCATCCACATGATGGAAAAGAAAATGTGATTTGTCAGACCAGCCACCCTATTCCATTGCTCCGTGGTCCAGTTCTGATGCTCACGTGGCCATTTTAGGCGCTTTTGGCTGTGGATATGGGTCTGCGTGGGCACCCTGACTGGTCTGCGGTCTGCTTAGCAAAGCTGCTTCCCCGAAAAGCAGACAACGGTGGATCGCTTTGCACAGGTTATTTGACAGGCAGTGAGGAGGCAATTAGGTCGCCTCCTCGCCACCTGTTTTATCCCCGAAAAGGCCGCAATTGAGGGTATTTCATGAGGTCGCAAGGCAGCTGTGGTGCAGCCCCTTTGAATGGATCACGTTTATTTATTTTTCACCTGGGTGGCTGCATACCCTTGTTCAGGTGGCTCAAATGCCTGATTTTACTGCCCCCCTTGGCTGCTTTTGTGATTGAGCCCTAAAGAATTTTGGGAGTCGCTACATACTAGCGTGGCCATAGAGCAAGTGCTAAAGTTGAACGTGGTTAACGCTTGAGGTCCAGGACTGTAAAAGGGTAAGGAAACTTTCCCAAAAAGCCCAATCCCCACCTGCCCTAAGTAGGTCTAGTCCACCTTGCTCCCCAACCCCCTCCTAAATTGCTATATCCACTAGATCTCAATCCAAGACCCGCAGCATTGTTTACATCCCTCTGTCAGCTTTTTGGGCTGACGTCCATGCCTATGCAAATAGGGGAAAAACAGACATCAGTAGGGCTGGTAGATGGGGGTGGGGTGGTGGTGGGCTAGACATACTAAGAAGGGTGGCCTTCAATAGGGCTGGCAGAAGGGATGGGGAGCTTGAGGATGGGCTAGACCTACATTGAGGGGTGGACTTCAATTGGGATGGTAGAAGGGACGGGGGAGATGGAGGGTAGGTTAGACCTACTTAGAAGAGTGGACTTCAAAAGGGCTGGTAAAAGGGATGGGGAGCTTGAGGGTGGGGTAGACCTACTTAGAGGGGTAGACTTCAATAGGGATGGTAGAAATTACAGGGAGCTGGAGGGAGGGCTAGACCTTAGAAGGGTAGACTTCAATGGGGATGGTAGAAAGGATGGGGAGCTGTAGGGTAGGCTAGATCTACTTAGAGGGGTGGCCTTCAATGGGGGTGGTAGAAGCGATGGGGAGCTGGAGGTTGGGCTAGATCTACTTAGAGGGGTGGCCTTCAAAAGGGATGGGGGGCTGCAAGGTGGGATAGACCTACTTATGGAAGTGGCCTCCAATAGGCCAGGTAGATGGGATGAGGGGATGGAGGGAGGGCTAGATCTACATAGAGGGATGGCCTTCAATAGGGATGGTAGAAGGGATGGGGAACTGGAGGTTGGGCTAGATCTACTTAGAGGGGTGGCCTTCAAAAGGGATGGGGGGGCTGCAAGGTGGGCTAGACCTACTTAGGGAAGTGGCCTTCAACAGGCCTGGTAGAAGGGATGAGGGGCTGGAGGGAGGGCTAAACCTACTTAAAGGGGTAGACTTCAAAAGGGTTGGTAAAAGGGATGGGTGGCTGGAGGAAGGGCTAGATCTAATAAGGGTGGACTTCACTATACTGGTAGAAGGGATGGGGGGCTGGAGGGAGGGTTAGACCTACTAAAAGGGGGGTACTTCAACAGGGATGGTAGAAGGGATGAGAGGCTGGAGGAACGGCTACACTTACTTAGAAGGGTGGACTTCAAAAGGCCTGGTAGAAGGGATGAGGGGCTGGAGGGAGGGCTAGACCTACTTAAATGGGGGGGATTTCAATAGTGAAGGTAGAAAGGATGGGGGGGGGGGGCTGCAAGGTGGACTAGACCTACTTACAGGGGTAGACTTCAATAGGGATGGTAAAAGGCATGGTAGGCTGGAGGAAGGGACAGAGCTACTTAGAGGGGTAGACTTCACTAGGACTGGTAGAAGGGATGGGGTGCTGGAGGGAGGGTTAGACCTACTAAAAGGGGAGGACTTAAACAGGGATGGGGGCTGCAAGGTGGGCTAGATCTACTTAGGGAAGTGGTCTTCAACAGGCCTAATAGAAGGGATAGGGGGCTGGTGGGAGGGCTAGATCTACTTAAGGGGGGGGGGGGGGGGACTTCAATAGTGATGGTAGCAGGGATGGAGGTGGGGGCTGTAAGGTGGACTAGCCCTACTTAGAGGGGTAGACTTCAATAGAGCTGGTAAAAGGGATGGAAGGCTGGAGGGTGGGCTAGATCTAATACGGGTGGACTTCACTATGGCTGGTAGAAGGGATGGGGGGCTGGAGGGAGGGCTAGACCTACTAAAAGGGGGGGTACTTCAACAGGGATGGGGGGCTGCAAGGTGGGCTAGATCTACTTAGGGAAGTGGCCTTCAACAGGCCTAATAGAAGGGATAGGGGGCTGGTGGAAGGGCTAGACCTACTTAGGGGGGGGGGGGGGGGGGACTTCAATAGTGATGGTAGCAGGGATGGAGGTGGGGGCTGTAAGGTGGACTAGCCCTACTTAGAGGGGTAGACTTCAATAGGGATGGTAAAGGGGATGGGAGGCTGGAGGGTGGGCTAGACCTACTTAAAGGGGTGGGATACATTGAGGGAAAGTCTCCTTACCCTTTACCAGTTGGCCGAGAGTATGGGGACACGTCTCCAAATGATTGAGATCAGATGTTTCCAGTGAACTGGGGTACCGGTGATCTTCTGGAAAGCCTTTCTAGAAGAATGTAACGTGTTTTATCTGTAATGGGGGGGGGGGGGGTGGGACTGTGAATGGCTGTAGTTTTGGAATGGGGCGTGCAGTAAGCTCATACAGCTTACCTTTGGCCAAATAATGAGTTTCGCTTGTCACCTGTCAAGGAACAGAGGGGAAATCTCCCAATGGGGACACCTCTCCTGGTGACTATTGCCAAAATGTACATTTTCCTTCACATCACTGAGACTCCCACTCACTTCCTGCTGTGTCACCTGAACAGGAAGTGAGAGGAAATCTCCTCAGCGGGGACACAGAATGCAATTTAAACCAGACAGAGGTTCTACACCCTCCCTGCTCTAGTCAAAATGAGAAAAAGCGTTTTGGCTGGAGTTTCACTTTAATTTGGCAGAAGGAAAAAAAAAAAATTGCAATTATACGAGCGAGTTATTGTGGAGTTTGGTATTAGAGTTTAGCTAATAAAAAAAAAATGGGCCTATTGTCATTTGTTATTAACTGCCGAAAAGTCAAAGCCCATATTTGGTCCCGTCATCCTGCAACTCCATCGCGTTCCCCCTCCTGAGTCCTCCAGCAGGGTGGGGGAGGGGGGAATTATGCTTGTTCAGCTATGTTGCTGAATTTGAAAACAAAAAACCCCAAAAAAAAAACAAAAAAAAAAACCCCCCAAAAAAAGTCCAAAGTTAACAAAGTCTGTCCAGTGTGGCTCTTTAGAAGAAAAAGCAGCACGGGCATCGCTACCCGACCAGTGCAAGAGGCAGAGCGCAGTCCTCCCTTCCATCGGGGGGCAGCACAGTCTCTAGTAGGCCACGGATCCTGCGTCTTCTGTGCTTGTGAACAAAATGTCCGCCTTGGCGTTGATGAAGTAGGTGGCAAAGAAGGAGATGAGGAGGACGGCAATGCCTGTGACCAACGTGATTACCTGCAGGGAAAAAAAACGAGAGATCTCAGGGGCTGGTACAAGGCAGATCAATGGTTAAAGGGGAACTCTGGGTTGACTGCTGAAAGGATTTCATGACACCTAGCCATCCTGGTGACTCGAGCGCCTCTGCTCGTTGGTAATATCCATCTATTACTTCCTGGGACAGCTCTCTGCTTACTGGACAGAGGTGATGATGCCGATTCACTGACCAATGAAGAGTCAGGAGGTGGAGCTTAACCGCTTAAGGACCGCCCTATAGAAGATTTGGTGCTACAGAGCGGCACCTGTAGGCAGAATCATGTTTATATACGTCATTCTGGGTTTACGGGTAAAGGGCGCCCTTTCCGCGCTGCTGCGGATGTCAATCACCGGGTCCCGGCCGGTAATTACCCGCCGGCGCCCAGTGATTACGGAGCATCTCCAACGGGGAGGAAGATTGTTTTGTTTACAAACAATCTTCCTCCCTGTCAGCTCAATCACACTGCTTGGGATGGCTGTGCACAGTACAGCCATCCCGATCAGCGTGCTTACAGTGATGCACAAAGACCCCCGCACCCTAGTAAAACACTCCCAGTACACAGTTAACCCTTTGATCATTGCTTTTTACGTGTGAAATCTATGAATGATCACAGAGATCACATGGTACAGGGCCATTCACAACAGCCTTGTACCATGTGACAACTGTGACCAATCACAGCTCTCACAGTAGTTCTCAATGGCTGCAAGAATGCAGCCAGAGAGAAGGAGAAATGATTGCTTTTACAGCCTTTATGGGTGTATCAGTGTAAAAAAAAAGAAAAAAAAAATCTTTATAACCCCCCACAAGTATTACAGTGTCACTATGGTGACACTGTACTGCTAGGGTGACAGTATGTTAAAAAAAAAAAAAAAAAAAAAAAAAAAAAAAAAAACATTAATAATATAAAAAATAAAATAAAAATGTTAAAAAATGTTTTGGAAAATTATAATTTTTGGTTATAAACTAATTTGGGTTATTCTTTTATTTTTTTACTAAAAAGATAACTGAATAAATTTTGGCCAAGATTTATGAAGAAAGATTTCTTTGCAAAATTTTATAAGAAAAAAACTATTTTTTTCAAAATTTTTGGACTTTTTTAATTTATATAGCAAAGAATAAAAATCCCAGCGGTGAATAAATACCACCAAAATAAAGTTTTATCGGTCTTAAAAAAATGCTAAAAAATTCATATGACTATGGTGTTGCATGACCGTGCAATTGTCATTCAAAGTGTGATAGCGCTGAAAGCTGAAAAAATTGGCCTGGACAGGAAGGGGGGGGGGGGGGAAGTGTCCGGACTGGAAGGGGGGGGGGGGGGGGGGGGGGGGGGGAGCGTCCGGACTGGAAGGGGGGGGGGAGCATCCGGACTGGAAGGGGGGGGGAGCGTCCGGACTGGAAGGGGGGGTGAAAGTGTCCGGACTGGAAGGGGGGTGAAAGTGTCCGGACCGGAAGGGGGGTGAAAGTGTCCGGACCGGAAGGGGGGTGAAAGTGTCCGGACCGGGAAGGCGGGGAAAGTGTCCGGACCGGAAGGGGGGTGAAAGTGTCCGGACCGGAAGGGGGGTGAAAGTGTCCGGACCGGAAGGGGGGTGAAAGTGTCCGGACCGGAAGGGGGGTGAAAGTGTCCGGACCGGAAGGGGGGGTGAAAGTGTCCGGACCGGAAGGGGGGTGAAAGTCTCCGGACTGGAAGGGGGGGGTGAAAGTCTCCGGACTGGAAGGGGGGTGAAAGTCTCCGGACTGGAAGGGGGGTGAAAGTCTCCGGACTGGAAGGGGGGTGAAAGTCTCCGGACTGGAAGGGGGGTGAAAGTCTCCGGACTGGAAGGGGGGGGAAAGTGTCCGGACTGGAAGGGGGTGAAAGTGTCCGGACTGGAAGGGGGTGAAAGTGTCCGGACTGGAAGGGGGGGAAAGTGTCCGGACTGGAAGGGGGGGAAAGTGTCCGGACTGGAAGGGGGGGGAAGTGTCCGGACTGGAAGGGGGGGGAAAGTGTCCGGACTGGAAGGGGGTGAAAGTGTCCGGACTGGAAGGGGGGGAAAGTGTCCGGACTGGAAGGGGGTGAAAGTGTCCGGACTGGAAGGGGGGTGAAAGTGTCCGGACTGGAAGGGGGGTGAAAGTGTCCGGACTGGAAGGGGGGTGAAAGTGTCCGGACTGGAAGGGGGGTGAAAGTCTCCGGACTGGAAGGGGGGTGAAAGTCTCCGGACTGGAAGGGGGAGGGAAAGTGTCCGGACTGGAAGGGGGGGTGAAAGTGTCCGGACTGGAAGGGGGGGAAAGTGTCCGGACTGGAAGGGGGGGTGAAAGTATCCGGACTGGAAGGGGGGGTGAAAGTGTCCGGACTGGAAGGGGGGGAAAGTGTCCGGACTGGAAGGGGGGGAAAGTGTCCGGACTGGAAGGGGGGGAAAGTGTCCGGACTGGAAGGGGGGTGAAAGTGTCCGGACTGGAAGGGGGTGAAAGTGTCCGGACTGGAAGGGGGTGAAAGTGTCCGGACTGGAAGGGGGTGAAAGTGTCCGGACTGGAAGGGGGGGGTGAAAGTGTCCGGACTGGAAGGGGGTGAAAGTGTCCGGACTGGAAGGGGGGGGAAAGTGTCCGGACTGGAAGGGGGGAAAGTGTCCGGACTGGAAGGGGGTGAAAGTGTCCGGACTGGAAGGGGGGTGAAACTGTCCGGACTGGAAGGGGGTGAAAGTGTCCGGACTGGAAGGGGGGGAAAGTGTCCGGACTGGAAGTGGTTAAAGGATCTGTACTGACAGCTTGGTGCCACATCCCACAGCCTACCTTCAGAGGTCTAGTGGTGTCCATGCCTGGAGGTGTGGGGTCTGTTTTGGTGGCACAAGGGGCACCTACTGAAGGATAGGTGGGTGGTCCTAATGTTGAGTATTTATTATATGTAATACATCTCACAGTTTTCTGTCTCATACAGATATTTTAGACAGACGAGGAATGACAGAACAATCTCACCTCCAGCTCCTGACTGGGGATGAGGAATATTCGCGCTCGTATTTCCTTCCATCGGCTCTCCGTCCACGTGGAGTACTCCGTGGAGCCCCACTCGTTCAAATCGAAGGCGGGCGACTCGGCAAAGTGGTTGCGCATGGTACTTCTGATGCAAAAAGGCTCCCGGGAGGGTGGTATTGTCATTAAGGGGGCCCTGGACCCAGATATAGTCATACAGCTGTAGGTGAAAAAAGAAGAAAGAAACTTTCAAGGGTGAGCGTTAAGGAAGCACTCTGGTCAAAAAAACTATGACTTTGTACCCCGGCCTCTATTCTCTGCACCGCACTGCTGTCTGTGAATGTGAGGATACCGATCATTTATAAGGGGTGGAAAGTTCATGAAGAAAAACTTATCAAATGAACTTCGAAAATGATCAAAACTGCACAATTTCTCTTTTTTCTCTTCCTGTAATGAAGTACTTCCCACCATGTGAAGGCTGCTAGGTTCTGTAGAAATCTTCACTGCAGGGCTGCCCTGTCCTCTTCCTGCTGCTGAATCGCATTGCAGGGCTGCCCTGTCCTCTTCCTGCTGCTGAATGTCACTGCAGGGCTGCCCTGTCCTCTTCCTGCTGCTGAATGTCACTGCAGGGTTGCCCTGTCCTCTTCCTGCTGCTAAATGTCACTGCAGGGTTGCCCTGTCCTCTTCCTGCTGCTAAATGTCACTGCAGGGTTGCCCTGTCCTCTTCCAGCTGCTAAACGTCACTGCAGGGCTGCCCTGTCCTTTTTCTGTTGCTGAATCTCACTGCAGGGCTGCCCTGTCCTCTTCCTGCTGCTAAGAGACCTAACGCTATTAACCCCCACAGCACCAGAAGTCCATCTGTAACAACATCTTTCCTGTTCTGCAGAGAATCTGTTTATGGAACCCTGCTGATCAGACTGGACATGGCCCATATTAAAGGGGCCTTAAGGATGGATATGGATCCTGTACTGAGTACTATTGCCATAGTTACGGATGGGCAGCCCGTACAGGCACAGCAGGATCTTGTCAGCAGGCCTTGGCCATAAATCATCGGCCAGAATCGGCTCTGTCCAACCACAGCCCAGAGCCCTGTGTTGACAATCAACACAGAGCTCTGCACAGAGGGAACAATCTCTGTTTCTTCTCCGTGCAAAGTAGGGAGAGAAAGTAAAAAACATGTTTGGTCTTTTATATTTATCTCGCAAAAAAAAATGAAAAACCCCCAATGGTGATCAAATACCACCGAAAGAAATCTCTGTGTGGAAAAAAAATTATATCAATTTTCGTTTGGCTCTCTGCCAATCCCTCCACTGGCCTCCACCCCTCTCTCTGCCAATCCCTCCACTGGCCTCCACCCCCTCTCTGCCAATCCCTCCACTGGCCTCCACCCCTCTCTGCCAATCCCTCCACTGGCCTCCACTCAGTGTCTCCACCCCTCTCTGCCAATCCCTCCACTGGCCTCCATCCCTCTCTGCCAATCCCTCCACTGGCCTCCACACCCCTCTCTGCCAATCCCTCCACTGACTCCACTCAGTGTCCTCCATCCCTCTCTGCCAATCCCTCCACTGACTCCACTCAGTGTCCTCCATCCCTCTCTGCCAATCCCTCCACTGACCTCCACTCAGTGTCCTCCACACCCCTCTCTGCCAATCCCTCCACTGGCCTCTACTCAGTGTCCTCCATTCCTCTTTGCCAATCCCTCCACTGGCCTCCACTCAGTGTCCTCCACCACTCTCCGCCAATCCTTCCACTGACCTCCACTCAGTGTCCTCCACCCCTCCCTGCCAATCCCTCCACTGGCCTCCACTCAGTGTCCTCCATCCTTCTTTGCCAATCCCTCCACTGGCCTCCACTCAGTGTCCTCCATCCTTCTTTGCCAATCCCTCCACTGACCTCCACTCAGTGTCATCCATCCTTCTTTGCCAATCCCTCCACTGGCTTCCCATTGGCCAACAGATAAAATTCAAAATATTAACAATAACATATAAAGCTATTTATAACTCCGCCCCAAATGACATCACTGATCTTGTCTCCAAATATCACCCAATCCGTCCTCTCCGCTTCTCCCACCACCTCCTGCTCTCTAGCTCCCTTGTCTCCTCCTCCCATGCTCGTCTCCAGGACTTCTCCAGAGCCTCCCCCATCCTCTGGAACTCTCTGCCCCAATTTATCAGACTATCGCCTACTTCCCACTTTTAGGCGCTCTCTGAAAACCCATCTCTTCAGGGAAGCCTATCCTGCCCTCAGCTAATAATGGAATCTTCTATTCCTCCTACCAGTCCATCCCCCACAGTTATTACCTTTTGTACCACCAGCCCCTCCCTCCTAGATTGTAAGCTCCAAGGATCAGGGCCCTCCTAACCCTCTTGTATTGTTGCTGTATTGTCTCCCATTATATTGTAAAGCGCTGAGCAAACTGTTGGCTCCATATAAATCCTGCATAATAATAATGATAGTGTTGCATGACTGCGCAATTACCAGTCAAAATAGTGCCGTGCTAAATAGCAAACAATGGCGTGGTCAAGACTAGGGTAAAACCTGGTGGTCAAAGCAAAAAAAAATGTTACTTTTATGTGTCATGGGCAGACTGAGGTTAGGGCTCAGGAGGGGATACCTCTTTTTTGGCATCTGTGGCCTTGTCTGGGTTCTGGCACTCCTCTTTGGTAAAGTTCACCACCTGGCCGGTCAGATTGGCGAGGACGGACAGCAGAATGCGAGTCGGATTGTTGGGGATCGGCTTGCTGCCCATTGAAGAGGCCGTCACGTAATATTGAGGCTGCTTGTCCGCTGGAAACGAAAAAAAAAAAAAAAAAAAAAAGAGGACAACTGACACAACAGGACACAGAGAAGGGGAAACCTGCCCCCCGTGTGAATGGATTCCACCGAAAACGAAGATTTCAGTTTTATCACGTCGCCTGTAGGCTCGCTGTATCCTCCCCGCCGCTCAGTTATGAACAGTCAGGTGATATAAGAAGCAGTAAAGCTGAACTAGGGAGCAGTGCAGTTCCCCAACGCGTTTCGTCCCACCCACCGTGCAAAGGTCACCTCCATGACGAAGCCCTGTGGGCAGGACGAAATGCGTTGGAGGGAACTGGCATGGGCGGAGCTAGGCTGAAGCCGTCTGCAGTGAAGGAGTAAATCGAGCAACAGCATCAGTGAGCAAAGCATGCTGGTCTTACCCAAAGCATCCTTCCATTCTGGCCTAATAATGGACTGGAACCAGCTGTTGTTGGACATCACCAGGAACCCGTACAACATCCGCGTCACCTGCAGGAATACACAGAATGAGGGAAACTATGGAGACGCCTCTGCCTCTACGGCACAAGATACATTTTTCCAGCCTGCATAGGGAGCGAGAGAGTGCGGCCATATAGAAGTGGTATACATGAGTGAGCGAGCCATGGTGGGAAACAATACAAAGCATATCCTACTATAGTGTGTGCTTGCCTCAATCCAAAGCACTGAGTGTGATTTCTGTCTGTTCTCTCATTCCTCTGTTATCTGCATGAGTCTCTGCTGACAGTCTGCACCTGTGGGCTCCAAACTGCGGCCCTTTATATGCTTTTATCTGGCCCTTGGGGCACTCCTCCCACTGACACCAACAATGGGCACTATTCCTCCCACTGACACCAATGATGGGGCACAATTCCTCCCAATGACACCAACAATGGGCACTATTCCTCCCACTGGCACCAATGATGGGGCACTATTCCTCCTACTGACACCAATGATGGGGCACTATTCCTCCCAATGACACCAACAATGGGCACTATTCCTCCCACTGGCACCAATGATGGGGCACTATTCCTCCTACTGACACCAATGATGGGGCACTATTCCTCCCACTGATACTGATTAATGGGGCACTATTCCTCCCACTGATACTGATTAATGGGGCACTATTCCTCCCACTGACACCAATGATGGGGCACTATTCCTCCCAATGACACCAACAATGGGCACTATTTCTCTCACTGACACCAATGATGGGGCACTATTCCTCCCAATGACACCAACAATGGGCACTTTTCCTCCCACTGGCACCAATGATGGGGCACTATTCCTCCCACTGATACTGATTAATGGGGCACTATTCCTCCCACTGACACCAATGATGGGGCACTATTCCTTCACTGATACCGATTGATGGGGCACTATTCCCCCCCACTGACACCATTGTTGGGCTGTTATTTTCCCCACTGACCCCAATGATGGGGCACTATTCCTCCCACTGACACCAATGATGGGGCACTATTCCTCCCACTGATACCAATGATGGGGCACTATTCCTCCCACTGACACCAATGATGGGGCACTATTCCTCCCACTGATACTGATTAATGGGGCACTATTCCTCCCACTGACACCAATGATGGGGCACTATTCCTCCCACTGACACCAATGATGGGGCACTATTCC